CCCAAATTTTTCTCTTCATAAAAACCCCTTACCACAATCGAACCCCTTCACCGTCAAAGATGGCATCAATCTACAGTTGTAAAGAGTGCAATACAAACTTCAATCTCCATACCAACTATCTTTTCCCACCGGATTTTTACTTCGAAGCCGGCAATAAAGGTACTCTATCTTTCTCCGCTGTTGATTCATCCAAATTCAAGTTCGAGAAAGAAGATAAAATTAAACCCTTTTTCGAAACCCTTGATTATTGGGGAATTCAGAGGAAAAGGACTAAGATGATGTGTATGAATTGTGGGAAGGTTGTGGGCTATGTGTATGATGACGGGCCACCCATGACTGAGAGTCCGGGTCAGTTTCATTTTGGTCCTAGTCAGGTTATTCCTAGAGCTGCAAGGTATAGGATAAAAAATAAAGCTTTGAAGATTACTTCTGAGACTTGACATGTGATTTGATTTTTGATGTTCTTTTTTTTTAGATGTTGAGGTTTGTATATGGATTTAAGAGATGTTTGATGTTTGTGTATATGAGATTTTGATTTTTACATTTTGTTGGTTTTGTGAGCTGTTTCATATTTTGTGTAAATATTTATACTGGATCAATAAAGACTCACCTTTTATGACTTTTCTTTACAGAAGTTTTTAATTTATATTGAGAAGAAGGATGGAATCTAAGATCAGTTTTTGTTTTATATGCTGTAAGTATAATGTTAAATGATTGCTGATTCATGATTTGGATAATTAGATGTTCAGAGACTCCTACCTACAGATAAACCTTAGGCTTTGTACTGAAAAAGCTAATGAATTATTTTGCCAACTAAATTTGAGGCTTTCTTAGTATATTTGGCATCTCTGATTATTGCAACAACCTGTGTTGTCCATAGCCATGCATATGTGTTTGCTTTGTAGCTTTTCATTTTTCCTTGTCCTTCAATGATATGTCCCTTGTCCATTCTCATCAGCAGTATCTTTCCTGCAAGAACCTCTGGTACTGGTAAGTTGATTTTACTTCCATTAAATTAATCCTTATTGTTCTTGTTGGCATTCTGGGACTTTATGACATGAAAGATGTTTCCCATGATATCTTTATTGAGGTCACGCATATGAATGTACATATATATGCTTACTTGGCTATATTATTTTATGCTCTTATATTCTAGATTTTCTGCTTGTGGTTCTTCTTATTTGGAACTTTGCCCCTATTTAGCTTATATATAGGGTATTTGATGATCCATTTTCTGATTGTCCATTTCAATCATTACCAATAGAAATTTGTTTTGAACTTCTCTTGTTATGTTGCAATTTAAGGTACATTATTATAGTAGTGTAGTAGGAATAAAAGAAGGGTGGTCTGGTTTATTAGTTATTGTTTATTTTGACAGAACAAGGCTGCTTTTGTAAATATGGTTTTCCAGTACTACCTAAGTACTATGTGAAATACAATGTTACAGTTTTTTTTTTTTAAAAAAACAAGACTGCAGCAACCTTTTGGTGTAGTATAGTTTTATGAGCATTTTCTAGTATATGTCCACCGGAGAAGGAGAAATAAATTATTTTGCCAGAAGATTTCTGTGCTATTAGAAAATATAGAGCACTTTTAGTGATAGAGAGCCTAAATTATTAAATTTGATTGAGATGGATCTAATGGAACAATACACATTGTGATGTTTCATATGCTGGCCCCACTATATTGTATTGAGGTGTATTTCTTGTCATTATTTTGACTGTTGGCCTTGCAAAAAATTTTTTTGACGACAAGGGAAACCCGCAGCCGCTACCCTTTTGGGTGCGCACAGGGTAAAACCCCGCTCCTATGCAATAGCTCGCAAACCACATAGGAGAGGTAACCTGCACAAGGTAAGCTTGGTGCGACGAGCTCGACCCAGAAGGCAAACCCCTTGCTTTCGCTGGCAAGGGGTTTCGAATTTGAGACCTCCAACATGGAAGTCCCAAGCTCAAACCACTGGGCCACCCTGAAGGGTAACTGTTGGCCTTGCAAAATTATTAGTCATCTTATCTGCAATTCAGATTTAATTATAAGCCAACTGATGGAGGTCAAAGATCCGTAATGTTTTTGCTTACCATAAATCTGTAAATTAAGTTTTGCCTCGTAGTCTGCAGTTTCATAAGTTGTTGAGGAGCTGGTTCTCCCTTTCACAATGGGGAAATCTTTTATATATTTGTCTTAATTATAAACATCAAGCTCAAACATGTGTCATTTGGTATGTTTGATCTGAGAAAAGAAACATTTCATCAGCCAATTCCCAGTACAATAATGGATCTTCTCCGAGATAGAATAGTGGGGAGTTGGGCAGGAAGTAAGATAAAAATTCTAGCAAGGTTGATCTTAGTAGTTGTAACTTAATGATCCTGGTGCAGACATGTGCTGAGATAATCAGTTATCATGATCATGGCTGGACAAGATTCATCTTGAAGTTCTGTTTCCTTTTAATTTATGTATATCTTTCTCTTTGAGAAGCAGGCTTTACTTAGGTTTCTTGATCAAAGGGATTGTGCATAATGTCCATTGGCCACTGCTACATTCATAAATTTCTGACATCAGTATCATTCCTACCATTCTAACCCCACTGATAATGAGTTCGTCTTCAGTGTTGCTTAGCAAAGGGAACATGTAGCAAAATGCAATAAAGAAACAACATAATGGTGGTTATATTGTCTAGTTAATCGGTGACATAACTGCTGAACTAAGGATGATGATGTTTGTTCTGTAGTAAATTAAGCTAGTGGTTTAGAAGTCTGGATGGAATAGCATACTCTTCTGACATTTACTCTAGGATGTCTGAAAGTTTGCCAGGATTTCAAAGGGCTTTACTCAATTATAGTTTTCTAAATCCAACAAGAATCCTATTGAAAAAATAGTTGCTTGGGACTCTGAAAATGAAGCAGAACAAAGTTGATTGTGTTGCTGATGGAAAAAAGTTTAAGAGGATCGCTGCACTGCTTCACTGCCACCACCACCACCACCACCACCACCACCACCACCAAGCAGGCTTTCTTCTAGCAGGACATTGTCTGTTGAGCAGATGGCTGCGGTAAGTCTTACCAACAAGGAGATTGCAAATATTGGAAGCAATCTCTAGGTGAGGTTTAATATCTTTTTCACTAAAGACAGCATCAGTACTTACAGATTAGTAAATTTTGATAGATGAATCATTTTATATAACTATAACAAAAAACAATCTGATTCTTTTTTCAGGTGGTTGATTAATTTAGGCTCTTGTCCTGTTTTATCATTTGTTAAACACTTATCAGCTCCTTGGAATTGCTTCCCCTCTATCAAGGACTCATCCTGATTCTTGTCCTGATTGATATAATTGTTTTGGATGTTCTTTCTCATTTTTAAAGTTTAGGCCATCAAAAGTATGTTCAGTCAAATCATACAATTTATAACTTACTACTGTACAACTTCTCCATCTCAGAATAGAAATAGAAAGTATTGAGTGCTAAACTTTCTGTGTATCCTCCTAATAAGATTCCTTAGAAAGTCAAATTGTTCCAGTGGGTCAATTATTGTTGTTTGAAGAACGATCTAGTACCACTACTAATACAACAACATACTTAGAGGTCGTTTGGTAGAGTATATAAGTATAATGCTAAATAGAGTGTATAGTAATGCATGTATTAGTTATGTTTGCATTAATTATACATAAATTATTTTAATGCATTATTTGGTTTGATGCATTTAAAATAGTATGTATTGCATTAAAAAATTATTTACAAATATACCCTTCTCTTTTATTGTGGAAATTGGTAAACATGTTTAAAAAAAATGTTTTGAGGGACAATTGAGTCTTTTATCATTTTAATGCATGTATTAAAATCATTGCATGGTTAATACCTAAATATTCATGGTATTAATAATGCACACCTTAATACACAATCATTAGTTATACATAAGTTGAAAAAGTGTATCGAACAAGGTACTAATAATAAATAATGAATAATAGTAATACATGCATTATTTTTCTTAATACATTCTACCAAACGATTCCTTACTGTAATTCCACAAGTGAGAACATATAATTGTTTCTGATAGACTATTAGTTCAATATTGATTAGTATTCTATATCTGCTCACATAAGCAAAAGCGATCCACGTTGCATTATTTTATTTTTAAGTGTGCTCTCTTATTGGCTGATGGGCCACAATAAAGTGAATGATAATTTATGTGGGTGGGACTATACCGTGTTATATTCTCTCTCTTGAATATTTTATGAAGCTTGAAGAAGAGATGCTTACGCTACTCTGCGTTAAAATCAACCATGAGTGCGATCTTTATTGTTTTTAATCTCCCTTTCTTCCTCATCGACCCAATCTATGCACCAGTGTAATCTGAACCGTCATGATGAATATAGAAATTGTACCAGATAGGAGTTTTGACCGTAAAAATTGAGAATGTAGTTATCAAGAATCAGCCATTCCAATATTACTAGTTGAATTGTGGGATTATTTCAATCTAACACCGCGTAAGTAAGAATGTTTGGTGTTCATTTCTATGATTTCATTTCAGTGACTGCTCAAGGTTGGTTTTTGTAATTCTGGCAAGATGTGCTGACAACTTACTGTGTGAGAGGATGAGGATAAGATAAGATCTCGACAATTGAATAGAAGAAAATAATCTTTTCAGGTGTGTAGTAAAATTTTGAAGTAACACATATTGTCCACTATAGCCGTCAAAAGTATCCATCCAATATCATTTTTAGCAATGCACTTGCGATGGAAACTATGTTGCTTTTTGGGAAAGAAACTTTTATCACGACACACAAAAAAACAGAGACAAGGGTGGTGGTTAACTGATGATGCCCCACCAAATTGCTGACATAAGGATAAATTATAATGACAGGCCGTTTTCTAATTTCTTAGTTAATTATGCAAGTGGCTTAAAGGTCTTCCATCATGGTCATATTCTATTGTCATTTATCGTAAATATATATCCGCAAGTTTGCCATAATCAAGCATAAAGACTCCTTCACAGTTTTCAAAGGCATCTGTCTAGATCAAGTATCAGCAATTTCTGCAGCATAGTTTTCTGTTATTTGCTGACTCTATTGTACACATCAAACCTGTAAGTCCTCCAACATCTAGTCCCAAAATTGTGATTCTATCTTGATTTTTGTTTGTTGGTATGGTGCACTGTTCTGACTCTGACCAACTAGTCTAAAATCCGTCCCTACTGAGAGGTCTCAACTTGCAGTCCTGTTGTTGCAACTGTAGTACATAAATATATTCTTCATCATCTCATAATCTTGATATCCAGCAAGAATCTGTTGAAATCATGAAGCAAAGGGAAGGCAAAAGTGTAGCTGATGGAAAAAAGTCAAAGAAGATCGCTCCAGCACCTCCACCACCACCACCAACGTCGAGGTTTCTTCTTAGCAGAAAAGTGACAACACCAAGCCATACCAAACAGGAGATTGCTAAGTATTGGAAGCAAAAGCGCAAGACTGAAGAAGACCACTTCCTTGATGCCATCAAGGCTGCAGCCAGAATCAGGGCGCGCAATCTCTCGGTGAAGTTTTCAAATCAATTTATCACAGTTCTTTTTTATATATAGATGAATCATGTCATGTATATACACTTTGTGAATAATTATTGGAAAATAGTGCATATTAAATTGCATCTTTCCTTATCCTGATCCATGTCCTGTTTGCCATAAATCTTTTGATAAAGCATAGTAAGTGGGAGATCTGTCAAAATCACACAATATGACTCTGCAACTTTTCCATACTTTGAATAGATAATACTTGAGTGTTCCACTTTCTTTGCGTGTTGTCCATCTAAAAGGATTCCTTAAAAGTCATATATTCAGCTGAAAGGGCCAATAATAATAGTTAATTGATGGACAACTACCATACTTCTATGCCCATAAGCAAAAGCTTATTATTATATATACATGGTCCCTATAGGCTACTATACAAAGATGATTAAAAAAATGTTTTGGATGAAGATCCATTGTTATTTTCTGTCTCATTATGAATATAATATAAGTTAAAAGAGATTCATAAGTTGCACTTGGTGATAAATATAACAAATGACAGTGACCTAGCTTTTCCTTATCTCACTGCTAATTTGTAGAAACTGTGAAGATTAATCTGGAACTTGTACTATTAAAGATTGATAGCAGGTCAATTGACAACTCTGTATTTTGCTCTGTGATCTACTACAGGGAACTGATGTACAAATAGCATCCCATCTCCTGATCGATAGGGGGAAATACTTATTTTTCTCGAGGATACCTTGTGAAGTGTGATGTTTGATTGTGAGAAAGCATAGAAAAAAATGATGATTCCATTATTATAGTAGTTGATTTGGATTCCATTATTTCGAATTAACTTGCTTACATATTGTTGGTTTTGTTAAGGCGGAGGAATACAAATACTTTGTGTATTCCTTGAAGGTGGATGATGATGACATGGAGAACGAAATGGTACCTAAGAACATCTCCGAAATCAATGAGAACATGAAGGAGAAGAGAGTTGGTATAAAGGACTGGTAAGTGAGACGTAACTATGTACTTATGATAAAAATCTGATTCAGTAATTGATGCTTATCAGCAACTTTGTCCGCTCGCACATTTGAGAGTTGCAGGTGGACAAAGAGCAAATATGCATATCTAAACCAGCCTGCACTGAAGTCCATGGAACGCCACGGTTCCACTTATATTCCGCAACTATATTGCTACAAGGCTCCACCTCCACCAGTCACAAGCACCTTTGGGATCTTCTAGCCAATTCATGATGCCGTTCACGCACACAAGTCATGTTTCATGTATGTTTGTATATTGTGCTTGTATATATATCATTGTTTGCTCAAGTGTGTGATACTCAAAGGAAGTATCATATTTATGATCATTGAAGTTATTGTATTGGGGTTGTGAACTACTCTGCTGCACCTGTGGTAGAAATTACTGTTAATAAATAATGGTTCTATTATTGTAGATACTCCATCTATTTCAGCTTTCAATTCATCAAGTTTTGGCAGAACAAGTCATATATTATCATTTTGCTCCAATAACAACGTAAGCTCTTGGCTAAGTAATAATTTGTTTGAGTTTTATTACTCTCTTTAGCGAGGATTGAATTTCTCTGAATTAATTTTTTTTTTAAAAAGAAATTTTAATCATTAAGAATTTATAAACTCTAAATTCTAGATTCGTCTATGATATGACCTCTTACCCACTTCGAAGTAGGTATCTATATGCTTTTGATACGAAATATATACATGTATAATGTATCTATCTAAGTTGAATTACAGTGATAAAATATATATAAAAAAATTGTTTCCATTGATATATAGTTGTTTATTTTCGTCTGTTAGTCAATTATATATATCCAGGTTGGGGACCTATATATCGATGAGGAGTCAAAAATTTGTGAATCAATACTTTTTCAAATTAGTTAGGCTGATGATGGTAGTTGACTGAGAAATTTTGCAAAAATAATTTCTGCAAGGATAAATATAATTTTTTCAAACACATAAAATAAAAAAATAAATTAAAGCACGATTTTTCCATTATGTTCGGCCAAGACTTCCCTTGACAACTGTAAATTCCATCTGATTTCCTTAATGCAACTTACTGATTTAGAGATTGAAATCTCCTACTGAAAAATTTGCTCCAAACTTATACTCTCTTTGTCCTAATTTATGTTTCGCTTTTAACTCTTTTCACGTATTAATTAAAAAAATAATAAATATTAAATATAGTATAAAAAAATAATGAATACAAGATATAGTTTAAAATTGAACAAAGGTGGGAGGAAATACAGAGTAGGGATAAGACAAGTTGAATTGAAATTATTAATAGTGTTTTCCGAGAATCTTTGAAATTAATCAAAATAGTGGAGATGCATGTACAACGATAATCACAAATAAATAATGTAAAAGAGTAATAAATATCTGCATAACTTAATTTCTCTGAGCCCATTCAAACTTTAATTATATTTGAATTGTATACTGCATGATTTATTCTAACATAATTTTTTTCACGCTAAAATTTTAAACTCAAAATTTATAAATAAGGGTGAAGTAATTCTACCACATTAACAGAATCACGTCTAAAATATTCAAATATTATACCTCAGAAACGAGGGTAAGAAAATATGGAATGTTTGTTTCCCCACTAAGCATGGTTAAGGAAAAAAGTTTTATGCCAATTAGTTATTAACCATCTAATTGAGTTTCATGAACTAAATAGTTTTGAAAGAAGAAAATATGGTGCAACTAAATACTATCATAGGTAGGATGTAGCAAATGTAGTGGTCTACCATCTAAAGAAATTTTTTTGGAAGAGTTATGATAAATATGACTTATTTTTATTTGATATTACATCAAATAATTAAAATTATAATTAAATGCTTTCAACGGTGAAAATCGTGTCTTACAAGAATATAGGATAAGATTTTATACAATAAATTATTATAATTCAATTCTTTTTCAAATACCATAAATATATCAAAAACTTAGTGCATTAAACTACTTTTTTAAATTAAAACATTCCATTTATTTTCATATACTTGCTCTATTATAATTTAATACAAGATTTAAATAAATAAAAAGACACAGCATTTAAGAAAGTAAATTTTTATAAAATCTCCGGATTTTAAACGTGTTTCTGAAATGAACAAATATTGAAAATGAATAAATAAGTTTTTTATTTTTTGGGTGAAGTATAAAGGTCAACACAAAAAATGTAAAGATTAAATTAGGCATAGTAAGTAATGCATCCATCTGTCATACAGATTACAACAGAAAGTCTGCAAGGATAAATACATTGTTTTACCGAAAATAAATAAATAAACAAAATCTGTGTTTGATTAGTCAAAATTTTAAAACCCACTGTTTCCATTTCTTTGCCGAGTTGCATTAGCTGATCAAAGTTGTAGATTAGATCTTCAAATATTCAAAGATTTTGCAGATTTCATCGTGGAGTTTGAGTAGCAATGGCAGTGAAAGGAAGGCATTCTCGATTGGGGCCTCGAAAATCGTCGAATTCTACACTAATCTTTGGTGGGATTATTGTGTTGTCATTTTTCGCTCTCATTCTTCTTGCTTTCCGAATTATCTCCTTTCACAGGGGCTCTCAGAAAGCACACGATCTCACCTCTATAGCCCACAATACAGTTCAAAGGTACCCATTTCATTTGTGATTGTCTTTGTTCTTTTTTCTTTATTTTAGGGATCTGATTAACTTTGATGGGGATTCTTGTTTTTGGTCGCAGACAAGATGATGACGACGATGGAAAAACTGATCAGTGGGTTGAAGTGATTTCTTCGGAACCAAGAGCCTACGTGTACCATAACTTCTTGGTATCTCTCTTAAAGATTTCATCTCTTACGAATAGTGTTACATTGTGTTTATGTCTGCTACTAGTTATCTTACACCTATATTTCTTTCTCAATTTTATGCTTACAGCTATGCCTCAGTTTGTAGAAAATTAGAAATTTCTTGTTTTACCAACAATTAGTTTGTGATTTGTGAAATTTTTTATCGGGATTCTGTTGCTGCTTAGCGTATGGCAAAAAAAAGAAAAGAAAAGAATGTCAAAGAAATATGTAGGAGAATTGATTTGATTTGATTTTCTTTCAATAAAAATCATGCTCAAATGGAAGTTTTCAATGCCAAAGTTTCTTTTTCCAACTATGAAAATGATACTGGTGTTGATCTATTGATTGATACATTTACTGCTATCAATCAGATTTATTGCCCTAATTTTATTGTTCTCTCTTTGGCAGTCCAAGGAGGAATGTGAGTATCTGATTAGTCTTGCCAAGCCTCACATGCAAAAGTCAAGTGTCGTAGATAGTTCTACTGGCAAGAGTATGGACAGCAGGTAAGCATATTATTTGCATACCCGGGGATTGTCGAGCTAGGTTGTACTGCTGAGGATTATGGATATTTAATTCTAGTACCATCATTTATTCTCTAATTCTTTTCTCCTGTTATTCCCTCCCCGCCAGAGTCCGAACCAGTTCCGGAACATTTCTTGCAAGAGGGCGTGATAAGGTGATCAGGGATATTGAGAAAAGGATTGCAGATTTCACCTTCATACCAGTAGGTATGCAATTCCTTTTTTTAAAAAAGAAGGATGTAACTCGATGAATATGCATCTTATTACTGAAGGATCATTTCGCCTCTAGATGTTATGGAAAGAATAGTCATTTAATAAAGCTTGAGGTGTCTGAAAATGGTTTTTCCTAGTTCACTAATTAGTTCTTCCTTTTTTGATGAACTCTATTTAATGGTGTTATCTAATGTACTCTCTCTGTCACTATTTCTTTGGTACTGTTTTGTTTGCCGTCCTTTACCGTCCCAGCACCTTTATATTTAGAAACTGAATATTTTTACATTCCCATTTTCTATTGACTTGACTGTTGTGCTCCATTTTTTTGGTCTAACGTTAGTTTGATATTTTGTTCATATTTAGAATGTCTGTCAAGGTCTTTTTTGTTTTCCTTTTTTAAACCATGTCTGTCAAATTATTCCAAAACAGATTGGCCCTTGAGGGAGTAATACTATTTGTCCATAATTTAAGGAAATTGGACAGCTTTCTCTGGCATCACCAGTAATAGAAATATACTGTATACATTTGTTAGGAATTTCATTATGCTAAATATGGATGTACACCAAGGGGAATGATCTTTTAGAGATCCAACAGAAAGAGCCTTATATTTCCAACCAATTAATGTAATTTCGTCGTATTAATGATTTCTGGAGTTGTATGCATTGTCCAATATATAATTGGATGCGTTATTTTTGGTCTGTTGTTCGATGCTGATTTAATATGCATTGAATTGAGGATGGTGGCTGGGGATGAGTATGAATGTAGTATAATGTCCAAAGTCTAGTAGTAAGTGGCCTATCTTGCTAGTGTAAGTCTTCTAATTAGTTAGTGACTATTCCAGGCATTATTAGTGTCAACCACTAGATTCATTTCTGCTCCTTACACATTCAGAGATATAACTTATTCTATGAACCTAAGTGTTCATTAACTTTTTTTGAGAAGAACCTTAAACTAGGTGCATCATCTTGATGCTTAACCAGTGATTCGTTTGAACGGCACTACTAGACGTGCTCAAATTGCCTCTTTCAGTAGTGATCTATGTGACTCTGTCATCATGTAATGCCTTAAACTACATGTGAATTGATGTATCTGCTTCTGTCTACAGAGCATGGTGAAGGTCTTCAAATTCTCCACTACGAAGTGGGGCAAAAGTATGAGCCCCACTACGATTACTTTCTTGATGAGTTTAACACTAAAAATGGGGGTCAACGCATTGCGACGGTTTTAATGTACTTGTAAGTGACGTTTTCCCGGCAAGGTTTATTCTTAATGTATTCTCGTAGAGTCCCTTAGACAATTCTCTTGGCGTGCTGCAGGTCAGATGTTGATGAAGGGGGCGAAACAGTATTCCCAGCTGCAAAGGGAAATTATAGTGCAGTCCCTTGGTGGAATGAACTATCTGTATGTGGAAAAGGTGGACTCTCTGTAAAACCAAAGATGGGTGACGCATTGCTTTTCTGGAGCATGAAGCCTGATGCAGTTCTAGATCCATCAAGTTTGCATGGTGAGTAATCTGCATACAAGCAGATACGGATAATGGGTGCTGAACATTGAGAACTTGATTATTGATTACTGACATCCATCTTCTAGCTCACAAAGTTTTAATTGCTATATTGTATTCTGGAGTAATGAGCAATGTTTATTTGATTGGCAACTAAGTAGTATTACGTATGTCTTGTTTTAGGTGGGTGCCCTGTAATTAAAGGTAACAAATGGTCATCTACAAAATGGATGCGCGTCCATGAATACAAGGCTTAACCTACTGCTAGAGGTAAACATTTTCGCCTGAGTGGTATTTAATACACAAAAAATATGTGCACCCTCTGCAGTTTTCTTATATGTACACAACTTGTTTTATTTGCTAGTACTTTGCATTTA